ACTGAGATGATTCTGAATAATAGAATGAAACTAATTAAGACTAGCTGGTTTATAGTAACTGTGATAAAAAGTGCAGGTGAAATAAAATTTGAATGTTTTAGTACAATAAACTTGTACATAAGGGCACATAAATTTTTGTAAACTTCAAATCAAAGCTGCAGTTCTAAAAATAATGTGATGATTATACATCAACTTGGCTAGATTATAGTGACCAGTTGTTTGTTCAAACACAAGCCTAGACATGTTTAAGATGTGATTAACATTTATAAGTCATTGAATTTAATAAGTAAGCAGACTACCTTCCATCATATGGGTGTATTTCAGTCAAATATTTGAAAGCCTTAAGAGCAAAGAAAGGACTTCTCAAAAAAGAAGGACTTCTGCCTCCAGACAACAAATACAAATTCTGCCTGATTTTTCTCCCTTCACACTCAAGACTACAACAACTCTTACCTGAATCTTCAGACTGCCATCTTGCCCAACACATTTCAGACTTACCAGCCACCAAAATCATGTGAGCAAATTTCTTAAAATCTATCTATCTATCTAATTTATCATATTAGATCAGTTGCTATGGAGAACCTCACTAATGCAAGTAATAGGGATAGTACAGGGTCAAGTAGCCTATTGACCTAAGAGTCCATCAATTTTACCTGGTGAGAACTGATGGCTGCCATTAACATATATGTTTTAGGTGCCTTATGAAACATTCTTTCTTTCATTTCCGAAAGATTTTTTTTTTTTTGTAATTAAAGCATATTTTAGGACCAACCACGGTGGCTTCTCCTAGCACTCTGGGAGGCTGAGGAGGGGGACTCGCTTGAGGTCAGGGCTTGGAGACCAGCCTGAGTAAGAGTGAGACCCCGTCTATACTAAAAGTAGAAAAATTGGCTGGGTGTCATGGTGTGTGGCCATAGTCCCAGCTACTCAGGAGGCTGAAGCAGGAGGATAGCTTAAGCCCAGGAGTTTGAGGTTGCTGTGAGCTAGGCTAATGCCATGGCACTCTAACCCAGGCAACAGAGCAAGACTGTCTCCCTGCCCACCAAAAAA